TCCTCTATCCCCGAACATTCTGAATTTTTTTGTGCATCTTTTAAAAATATGTTTGTCAAACTAAATGTCAATGAGGCGCTACACATTCTCATTGCACTGCATTTGCCCTTAGCTCATTTTTTTTATTTTCAACTCACCACTCTTTCTGTCAGCCTTAACGCATCACACTAGAGTTTGTTTTAATCAAGCAAAACCTGCCGGTAGTGTGAAAACAACCTTGGATGCAGCATAGAGTGTAGCAGTGGGACTTCATGTCAACTATACGCCACTATAGAATCTCATTATAATTCCTCAGGCTGCCAGAGTCTCTCAGCATTAACACAAGCGCTCCTGCAAGCACGACTGTAGCACCCTCTCATTCATCCATCCCTCCCTCTAATTGCCTTCCATTCCTCTCAATCCCTCCGTCCTTTCTTTCATTTCCCTCCGTTTCTTTCGGCTCTGCTGATTTCGACTATCAAGCCACGCAAATGCACTTTCTCTTTCTCTCTCTCTCTCGACTCCCTCTGTTAACTCACAGCAAGAGATCACCGCCTACTTAGTGCACTCTCAGCAGGCTAAAGATTAACACTCGGCCACAGTGTGCAGATCTGTGTGTATATGGACGTATATGAGGCTATGTGTGCATCTCAGCACAGTGTGTCTGCATAAATTCAAGCCTGTGTGTATACTGCAAGGTGATTACCTTGCTCTTACTTTGCTTGTTAAAGGACAATTCAGCACAAAGGTGACCTTTTTTGTTCGCCAGCCCTCTATAAATGAACTGCCTTGGTGTATAAAATCTCAATCTGTGTTGCAAACTTGTTTAGTTACCTCATAAATGGAGCAGTAATTATATATTCCTCACAGGAGGCTCCTCCGGCCTTTCTTTTATTAAATAACAACTAAAGATCAGGGATGAATAATTAATGATTGGCATATGGAGGGAGCGGATTCAAAGGGAGCTCCAAATGTCACTGGAGCGTCTCGGCTCCTGAGGTTCACGCTGGCTCAAGTCATCAATTTGGACTCCGTGCTGTTGTTTTAGAGTACTTCCTGTGAATAAAAGACTTTAGATAGCTGGATCCAACTTGCTTTTCGTGTAAGAGCAGGTTTCTATGGAATGAAAATCTGGATATGCCTTGGAATAGCTGAATAATAAGCATTCAGTACATGGACATGATCTATTGCAAGACTCGGACATTGTTTCTTCATTCTCATGTAAATCTCATGAGTGTAAAATCCCAGTCAAAAACAGGCCAATCGGAACAAAACACTGACTGTTACATTGCACACGGGTCATTAATATGCATGCCGCAGGCTGCATTTGATTCGTTACAGCATTTTCTACTGAGATTAAGTTAATCTAATGTTTTCTTAAACATACTATGTATGTGGGACTCTTGTTTTGAAAACATTGAGCGACAGTAAGAGGGAAGGAGCAGTTCTGTAAAACATGCAGCCATGTGTCTTGTCTCTTCACAGTTTGGGAATGTGGGATATATGGATTGTAAATTTAGTTAGCACCATCCCGAAAAGGCATAAGTCTGTTTAAATGTATATTTTATTAGGTCACTGAGTACATTGTGAAATTAGCTGTGTGTGTTTGTAATGAGGTAACAGACACATGTAAATGCTTAGTATAAGTGTTAAATAACTCAGCTCTTAATATGAAATAATGCCAGCACTCTTTGTAAAACTTGTCTGTTTATGCTACGGTTGGTATTAAAGGTGCTGTATGCAAGTTTTTGACTCTTCTAAAGCATATAAATATCATATTATGTTTGCAGAAATTTAAGAAACATGCCAGGTGAACATTCTTGTTTATCTAAAACACAATGCTGAAGTCAGATATTCTGCTTTGAAAAAATGTCTGTTACATGCTGGAACATCTGTTATCGTTTTGGTCATTTAACCCGTTCAATGCCAGTTTAACCAATTATATTTCAGCACCCCAGGTTGCCTTAGTGGAAAACTGTGTGTTTCATTAATTTAGCCAGAAAGGCTTTCAAATTAAGCATCTGCAACAGAAATGCATCCTCTGATAGACAGTAGCAGACTCCAAAATGAGATGCAGATTCAGAGTTCCACATGAGGTGGTTGCTAATTAGCGAATAATATAAATATTATGAATGTGCACATTAGGTGAGCAGGTTATACTGTAACCCTGTGTCCTAACAGCACACTATGTGACAAGATTTGCAGCAATTGAGCTGTTTGCACCAGACTAAACCATTAAATAAATATAGCTGTTCAGAAGCACCGAATAGTGCACTTACTGCACTCGAATGAAATGATAAGATTTATAATCTAATTAATACATATTAAACCTCTTTAACATTATTAAATGTAGATGCTGAATTATTGATATGTGTTGGCTTGCAATGAAGTTCAATTTCAAACGGTTTATTTAATTTTTAAAATCTGAGGACTCTGCTGCTGCTTTTAGTTGTATGGCAATAATTGTCATGTAAAATGGTATTCAAACTCACATCATTAGCATTTAACACTGAATTAAGCACATGAAGTGTACCTAAGGTGAGCATTGTCAGTTTTCTGTTGTTCAGTTGCAAGAAATAAAATAAAAAATACATATAATTTCATAAAATATATATAAAACATAAATTTCAGGTCTTAGGACAAAAACTCCTTTAATATGGAAAATATTCCTTCTATCACATGCTGTTGCTTTTATTTAGAACACAGTTTTAATCAGCCTTTAGGCTCGACAGTCAGGCACACTGCTATTGGTGTCATCAATCTGGCAACCTGCACTGTTTGTTTTGAACCAGGTGTGCAATACCTAGTTCAGCCACCGAGTGTCAAACTTACTGCACCTTTAATCCCTGCCTGTGTTTTCATATTCATATGTTAAAGGTTTAAAATACAACTCTGAATACATATCTGTTGGTCCGTTGGTCAGATATAATTATAATTTAGCTTTTATTTTATTTACAACGGATAAACCTCTTTTCCACTTTAGCTGAGCTGATTGTAATTTGACAAAGAATCTACTCAGTTTGTTCAAATATTTTTTGACAATAAACTATGGCGTTATTTTTCTATACATGTATCAGAGTACATCACGCTCCGTGTGTGTACCTGATGAACTGCATCAGACTGGTATGCTCTGATGCAAGTCTAATAATCCATATGAGGCTGCAGAGCTCATTAATATTCACAATCGTTGGTCACAATCACAATGGTCAAAATAAGCTTTCTTATTCTAGTTGTTAATTTTGTGGTTGTAAATAAGCATATAAAACCGGCACATATGGCACCTTTACATGAGTTTCATCCACTTCCATTCAATTTTAGCTGTTTAAAACTGCCAGTTATGTTGATTAATGTCACAAACTGGGATTTTCATATTCTAATATTTTAATTTGAATGTGTTTGTCAAAAAGACACTGGTTTGTAGTGTAAGCAGTTTGACTGTTTACAGCAATTTGTTAATCCTAGTCATTAGCCCGAGGCACCAAAATTAATCTGAAGTCTAACAAATTTGCAGAAGAGCTTACTTCTGCATTGCAAAATGAAGTGGATATGAAATACAAGCTTGGTATTACAGGCAGACGATAGATAGATAGATAGATAGATAGATAGATAGATAGATAGATAGATAGATAGATAGATAGATAGATAGATAGATAGATAGATAGATAGATAGATAGATAGATAGATAGATAGATAGATAGATAGATAGATAGATAGATAGATAGATAGATAGATGCATTTATTAACTTTGAAAGTGTTTCTTATTCAGTAAAAGTGAATCAGTAGAGAGCATTAACTTTAACCCCACCCCTTTCTGCTATACAACAGCTTTGTCAGAGTGTCAGTGCTTTAGTTCTCTGCTGTCTGCTCTGAGTGAGGATCTCTGTGTGCAGCATTTGGTGGTCAATCTTTTTCCCCTCTCTCCTCCGGGGCGGATTAAAGGATTACGCCGCAGCACAATTGTTCTTTTGCAATATTCTGATCAGATGCCGGAATAATATGCTCGACAGCTTAAAACTTAATCACGTTTTGTGAGCGGCGCGGTAAATAAAGGAATGCCAGAGGATTTGTGGAGCGCGTTCTGACCGTCAATGTCGCCCAACACCACCTGTTTTTCGCTCCCGTCGTGAACCACGAGCATACATCTGCACTACAAACACACCGTCTGTGACTTTAAAAGGGAAAGAGACAATAACTGCCCGATGGCGCATTTGGTTTTGCCCAACATTCAAAACGTGGTTACTGTAGCTTGTGTTTTTGCCCGTTTGGACAGTTGGTTTATGTTGAAGTGCTTTCCGTGACAGTACATTAGTGACATGGTGTCAGCATCCAAATACTACTCAGAAGATTCATAGATATTGAAAAGAACTTAAAAGATTCTGAAGTTTTTAAAACATTCGGAAGAGTGTTAAGATAATGAAGTAAGATAAAGATTATGCGTGCGTCAAAAGTGTGATGATGTGTAAAATACTTCAGAAAAGAAATTCGCAGAGTATAAAGAGATCAATAATTGTGAATTGTTCAAAGATACTGAAGACTTACAGATTCTGAAGACTTTAAATGATCCCAAAGGCAGTGAATATTCTAAAAGATTCAGTCGGAGTTTGAAGATTACAAAGAGTGTGAAGATTCTTCACGTCAATAAACGCTTCAAGAAAGCGCACAAAGGGAGTTCAACAATTTGTTAAAGACAAAAAAAGAAGACATTTGACTGACACGGTCGATTAAATTAAAGCTAATGTAACAGTCCCATCTAATATTAAGCAATTTTATATCACTTATGCGCATCTCAATATTAGGCTACTCAGTGCTGCTGTTTCTACGCGCTCCATTCACTTTTTTAGCCTCAAACGGGACTCGTCGCACGTGCGGGCACTGTCAGAATTCAAGTTCAGAAGTGTAAACGTCAAATCGGATATTGATGGCATCCAATGCTAGGATCAGGAGCTTGGGGAGAGTTTGGAGAAGCTTGGCTCTCCTTTACGCACTGCTTATCTTTCTCTCCTGGCCGTGTGCGTTTGCAGGGAAGAAGAAGTTGTACATCGGAGCTCTGTTTCCCATGAGTGGAGGATGGCCCGGTGGTCAAGCGTGTCTCCCCGCAGCACAGATGGCGTTGGATCTCGTGAACAACCGGAGCGACATTCTGCCGGACTACGAGCTGGAGCTCATTCATTACGACAGCATGGTAAGAACTTGCATATTATTAATATAATATATATACATACAATCAATAATTATTCAGTATTATTCAATAAATTCGGGCTTGACTATATCTCCATATAGTAGCTAATAGCTCCTTTTATTGCGTCATGTACTTTTCTGCTTAACATTTAATAATATTTGGGTTAAACTTGCATGAAAAACCATACTTCATGTTCATGTGCATGTGTGATAGTTTCTCGTGGTTTGAATTTTTAAGGCCATTCATAATTTAATAAACTAGTAATGCAAGATTAATATATACATCTGTGCAATACGCATTTATGCAAATTTATTAATTTGGCTACATGATTCTATTGCATCGATTTGAATTATTACAAAATATTAAAGTATCCTGCACATGTATTTTGATGATTTTTAAAGTAATTTATTTTTAATAACAGTAACACAGTAGGCATTATACTTCATCCGAGTTCTCATAGTTTTTATATTCATAAAATAAACATTTGCATTTGTATAGAATTTAGTGCAAAATGTAACTATTTTTCTATAGTAAAACATTGCTATTTTACTCATTTTCAGGATGAATTTTTTCTATAATTGAAAAAGAAGACAACTGAAACCATGACTTGGTTATTAATAAATTGCAAGTCAATGGCTTACAGATATTTTAAGAATAAAAAAAGTTGATAAAATAAAATTAAAGAAGGTTTCCCAGTATTGGGTTGCAGCTGGAAGGGTATCCGCTGTGTAAAGCATCTGCTGGATAAGTTGGCGGTTCATTCCACTGTGGTGACCCTTGGTGAATAAAGGGACTAAGCCAAAGGAAAATGAATGGATGAATGAAAATTAAAGTAGAATAACATTAATTAATTCATTGAACTTTTTTTTATAAAGCACTTTACAAGCACTGAGCAGCAGACCAAAGTACTAAACCATAAGATGAAAATTAAAACACTAACCACACATAACACAGTATACATCTCAAGTAGTAAAACAGCTGCACATACGGCTTACATATATACTGTTCAACAAATATCAGATCAGGTGACAAAGGCCAAAGAGAAAGGTAGGTTTTGAGATTTAAACAGTGGCAGCAAAGGGGACTGCCTGATGTCGGGAGGTAGAGCATTCCATAACTTGAGGCCAGCGACAATGATGATATGATGACCTTGGAAAAAACACCACGGTTTCACGTTAATTCACGTTAAACACGGTATTGTTATTACTGCTCTAAAACGAGTTACTTTTAAGTGTCTGGGTAAAAAAACAAACAAAAAAAACCTACTATTTTATTTTAAGAAACATTCAAAATATTTTGTAACAATACACACGTCAGGCTAAATAGTTAAAATAAATTGACTTCTGCTCTCTTCATTAGTTTCAAAAACACAGATTTTACATAAAAATACATTCAAAAACATTACATATACTTTGGAAACAGTATAACAGAACATTTTGGCGGTATCAGAACCTTGACTTTTCTAAACAGCGGTAAAACTGGAAACTGGTTATCGTTCCATGCCTAGCCACTGCAAATGCACGGTCACCTCTAAGCTTACGTCTGGTTTTGGGGACTCTAACCCTTGTGTATGCTGAGTATACATTGAGCTAAAGTGAAAGGATTGGTCTGTATAATGATATTTTTTGTAAACAATGTACATAGTTCTGCCTTTTTTATTTATTTTTAAATCACAGTAGCTATTGACCTGCAATTCATGAGTTGCAGAGCACAGTTTAAGCAATTCATTCAGTGCAGTTCATGAAGTGCACAGTTTCAGCAAAAAATGATCTTTTTAAAATTGTTTTTTAATTATATATTTTCACATTTTATTTTCACATTTTTAAACATTAAGGTGGACATTTAATTGCATTTAAAATGGTTTATAGAGCATGCACATCTGCTGTAAGTGTAATTGCTAAACATCATTTGATGTGAACACCAAAATAGGATGTTTGTCTTTGACCCTTATCAAATTTATACTGTTATTCAGCAAAGATTCATTACACTCATCAAAATGTATTATAAAATATTTCACATACTGGACTTTTCTGTCACAGATATGCTTTGTCTGGAAAAACATATACTGTACAACATAATTATCTAAGGCATCTCTAAAACCAATTCTTTGCTAAATGGGGATTTAAATTTTGATATGCATAATTGAATGCAAAATGAAACCGTTCTAGCCAACAAAGGCTCATTCTGATAATGTAGCCCTATATACATTCTGGAGATCGTAAATTATGTAGCAAGAAGTATGTATGGCTGCATTTCATTTTTTAAGTAAGTGATACTGGGTGATATGACGCCGTTCTTTTTCGCGCTTACCCGCTGACCCCTTATCTCTGTATGTACGATTTTTCCGGCTGTTACCCGTTTGTCCAGTTAGCTTGCCATGTATGTTGGTGGACTTGAGACGCAGAAAGGAAATGACTACAATGGCGGAGTTCAAGTCCGGCGAAGAAAGTTCCAGAAAGCAGATAATACAACAACAGAAACCAAAAAAATTAATTAATAAGTAAATAACTGGGTGAGAATGTGGTAAATCGTGGTAAACATTAGGCTTTTCTTTTTCTTATTTTGCTTTTTAAATTTATCAGTTGGGTTTAGGGAAATGCATCAGCGAGTCAATCTGCACTTTTTAAAATACTATTGGGAAGAGGAGGGTGGGTCAGTCGATCAGTCAGTCAATCAGTTATTCAGTCAGTTAAACAGTCAGTCGACAGCGGCCTCTGGTGGATTTATGAGAGAACAGCAGGCACTAATGGCATTTGCTAGAGAAATTTGAGATTTCAAAAAGCGTACACAGCGTCCTCTTGTGGATTAGAGAAAATAAAAACTGCAAAAATCATAGTTCCTGGATGTATTTGATGGTCTCCAGAAATGTTTATAGAGGTACGTTTTTAGAATGAGCTTGGGCTGGTTTTAGCATTAGCATTTAGTTGTTTGGTATTTTATGATTACCCATTTTCATTCATTTAAAGCAAAGCATATAAAACAAAGTTAAATACTTGCTGAATTTTTCAAATACTGTATATTTGATGTCAGACTTTTTCTTAATTCTTTCTATATACTTACGATCTCCTAACCCCTAGGGTGACCTTAAATCAGGGGTGTCCAAACTCAGTCCTGGAGGGCCGGTTTCCTGGAGAGTTTAGTTCCAACCCTAATCAAACACACCTGAACCAGCTAATCAAGCTCTTTCTAGATATACTAGAAACTTCCTTGCAGGTGTGTTGAAGCAAGTTGGAGCTAAACTCTGCAGGACACCGGCCCTTTAGGACCGAGTTTGGAAACCCTTGCCTTAAATAGTTAAATGCATTATCTATTCCAACAAATTTTCAATGAATAAATATATTTTTTCAAGTAGCTTTTGCTGAAAACTTTGGAAATAGAAGCATAATCGCCCTCTTTACCCTCTGTTAATTTATTCAAATATTTCACTTTCAAGGACTGAAACAGAGATAAGTACCAGATGTTAATTGAAGATGACAGGAATTATCAGCGTTATGCAGGTGCTTCATTAATGTTGTGGCAATGATTGTATCTCGAGATTCAGGAGTTGGTGTCAAGTTGACTTTGCAGTTGTTGGTACATTAATATTTTACAACTCACTGCACTTGGCTGTTATCAACAGCCTCTGAGGCTTCAGCTGTATAGACTAATTTGGCTTCCTAAAAAGGAAAAAAAAGAAGTTGTGCACCATAAATGCTTATGCATGCCTTTAGGATTGCAGAGTTTTCAAAGATTACTCCTAATATGTATTCCTTAGTGCAAGTATTTTTAAATCAGACTTTTTCAGTGCAATTTTCACCTTCTTTTGTGCAGAGTCAGTTGTTCTGATGTGATTAAAGGGGACATATTATGCCCCTGTTCATAAGATGCAAAATAGATCTCTGGTTTTCTCAGAATGTGTCTGTGAACTTGCTCAAAATACACCAAAGGTCATTTATTTAGGTGTAATCAAGGTTAAAATTAAGCTTTCCAGGAGAGGGGCGGAGCCTTTACAGGTCATTCTGACACCCCAGAAACAACAAAACAAGCACATCTCACACATCTTAATGTCAGGAAGGACCAGATGTGAATTAGTGGGGAAAAAAAATCATATATATTGTTGAAGTCAGAATTATTAGCCCCCCTGACTTATTAGCGCCCCTGTTTATTTTTTTCCCCAATTTTTGTTTAATGGAGGAAAGATTGTTTCAGCACATTTCTAAGCATAATAGTTTTAGAAACCTATTTCTAATAACTGATTTATTTCATCTTTGTCATGATGACAGTAAAAAATATTTTACTTGATATTTTTGAAGACACTTCTGTACAGCTTAAAGTGACATTTAAAGTCTTAACTAGGTTAATTAGGTTAACTAGGCAGGTTAGGGTAATTAGGCAAGTTATTGTATTACGATGGTTTGTTCTGTAGACTATTGAAAAAAAAAATAGCTTAAAGGGGCTAATAATTTTGTCCCAAAATTGTTTTTTTTAAAAATTAAAAACTGCTTTTTATTCTTTGCGAAATAAAACAAATTAGACTTTCTCCAGACGAAAAAATATTATCAGACATACTGTGAACATTTCCTTGCTCTGTTAAACATCATTTGGGAAATATTAAAAAAAGAAAAAAAATCAAAAGGGGGCTAATAATTCTGACTTCAACTATATATAAATAAGTGTATTGACTCGACTAAGGGCTGTGGGTTGAAGTTAAATATACCAAACCATATTACATTAAATTTGCTACAATTTATTTGCTAACATTTCAAAATAACTAGAAAACATTGCTTTAAAACATATTAATTAAAGATGCAGTAAAATGTCAATCACGATGACACGCCTAGCAATAAATTACTTGGTAAAACAAACTGTTTACAAAAATGAAGATTTGAGCCTATATCAGCTTGATAACCAGTGCCCTAATTGACCAAAACCATCTTTCGGGAAATTTTATTACAAGTGTAATTATCTTTTTTCATTTGGGTTCAAGTCTCGTTCATTAACACGGAGGAGGCGGGCTTTATGAC